GTTGTTTTTTTTTTTCATTTGTTTTCTGTTTTGTTTTACTTTTGAAATTTGTTATTAATTAATTTCATTTTGTTTTACTTATTAATTTAGTATCTGGGTTTCCTTTTTCTCATATCATCTTCAGCATCTGCTCAACCGCTTGCCCCGCCCTCTGCCCACTTCGAGGGGTAGGGCCCCACGCACCTTTTGCACACATCATTATCATTATCATCATCATCATTATGATAATGCAATTTCCATTTATATATAATTCATGTATTTGTTTTTGTTTTTGTTTTTTTGTTATCATAGATGCTGTTCGTCTGTAGAAACGTGGCCTAGAACCCAGTGGGAAGTGTTTATCATGTGTTTTTTTTTTTTTTTTAATTGGCTTTTGGGTCCCAGTCTAAGCCCTTTTTGCAAGCCGCATGCTCTTTGTTTCCCACTTTGCTTGAAATAATTTTTTAGCATAACTATCAAATAATTAATTATATATATATATAAATATATATGTATAATCAGTTGTTTGTTTTTTTTTTCTTGTCAATTTAAGTTTTATAATTATTAATAAAATACTCAACAAATAATTTAATTTGGGCTTTTCTTGCGACTTTCGCTGCAAATGAGACACCAGCTTTGTTGTTGTTGTTGTTGTTGTTTGTTTGTTTGTTTGTTGTATTCCATGCTATTGTTGGGCTCTAAGTATGTATATTTTGATTTCTTTCTGTTTATTTAGTTAGTACTATTTAAACACTTAATAGTTATTATGCTTTATTTTATGCCTTGTCAAAATTTTATTTCTTCTTGTTTTTCTTTCATTTTCTCTTCAAATTTAATGCAAATCAAATTGGGAGCAAATAAACATAATTAAAATAAATCATAAAAAAAAACTTGTTTCTTTTTTTCAAAACATTTTGTTTTTGTTTATTTTGTTTGTTTTTTTCTTTTTGCTTTTGTGTTCAGTTCGCGAACCGAAACTGTTAAAAAAAATATAATAAAAATAATAGTTTTTGTTTCTTTTCAAATATATGCATGTACATATATACATATGCATATATGTATGTGTGTGGGTGTGTGTATTTTTTTAATGTGCATTTTACAAATAGATTCGCTCTCGCTGTGTTCGCTTATGTCCAATCATAATCAAATCAACACCCACACGCACTCCGATCGTTAAAAAAAAAAAAAAAGAAAAAAAATCATTCCATAATAATAGTAATATATAATTATAAGTATAATAATAATAATAAAATTAATAATTATAGTTGTATTAAACATAGATTTAAATTACATTATTTATTTACGTGACAATAATTAAAAAATATATACACATATATAAAATATATTTATTTTATATACGTGTGTCTGTGTGTGTGTGTGTGTGTGTGTGTATTTATATATATATGTATAAGAAAAAAAAAGTTCACACTTAAGACTGTTGGCTAAAATTAAAGGAAAGTACGCTCACGTACATGTACATATGTATGTATGTATAATATAATTTATATAATTAGTACGCATCTCTTGAAATGGTTCTCGATTTTTGCTTTACGCTTTTTGCTGTATTTTTCGCTTTGCTTTTTGTGGCTCTTTCATCGAATTTATTAAATTGTAATTAGGCATAAATTAATTATTCTTATTATTTGTATTATTACATTTATATATATGTATATTTAATATTTACAGTTTCTTTGCTACGTTTTTTTTTTTTTGTTTTTGTTTATGTTTTTGCTTGTTCTTCAGCTTTTGCTGTTGCTGTTACTCTCTGTTCACTGTACTCTACTCTTGGCCTCGGCTTTCTGTTTCATGTGTGCCTATCTCTGTCTCTGTCTCTGTCTGCCCGATGTCTCTGTCTCTGTCTCATTCGGTTTCGCTTTGCAATATTTCATATTTACTTTGTTAGCGCACTAAAACCTAATTTTCATTTCATTTTTTATATTTTTTGTATTGACTAAAGAAAAAAATGTTTTATTTTATTTATTTTTTTTTTACTTTAATTTTTCTCATGCTCCCTCCTGTACTCTCTTTACAGCTCGGTCTCTGTCTCTTGCTACCTAACTTCTTTGCCTTTAATTTAATTGTTTTTTTTTTTTACTTTTTTTTTTCTTTTCTGACTTCGGCTTAAAAAAGCTGTGGAATTTGGGTGCCATTGAAAGTGCCCGACGAAGAGTCCCCAACCCGCCCCAGAACCTACATATATCAACTTTATCTGGCATCTCTATCTATCTCCCCCTTTCGCTTGCTCGCCTATCTTTCTCTTTCTTAGCCATATCTCAACATTTTAGTTTCGATTGCTTTGCTTTCGGGCAAAGCTTTCACATATGGGCTTTACATCTATATATATTATTGAAACATTTAGCGTGGTAGTTTTTTTTTTCTCATATTTTTAAATGTTTTTTTTTTTGTTTTTTTTTATATATATGTATATATATATATATATTTCTATTAATATGCCTTTGATATTAATATTTAATACATTGTTACGCCATAGTTCATTATAATTATGGTTTAAAATTAAAAAAAAAAAAATATTTTATATAATATGTATATATATATACACATATATATAAATACATATATGTATATATATATACATACATACATAATAAAAACTATTACATTAGTTATTATATTAATAAGAAGTAATTTTCTTTCTTTTTCTTTCAGATGTGATTTCTTTATATATATATATATATATATACTTTGAAGAGTTGGTACAACTTGTTGAAAATTTAGCGTTTTTTTATGTTGTTGTTGTTGTTGTTGCGTGGCATATACAAAATTTGTTTTCAGATTGTATTATTTATAATTATTTCAACTATTTCTGCTTCATTTTGTGTACTCCTTGTCTCACTTGCTCTGTATAAACCATTTTTTATCTTTGCTAGTTTTTCTTCTTTTTTCACTTTGCTTGGGTTTTTGTTGTTGTTGTTCAGGGTGTTTGTGTGTGTGTGTGTGAAAGAAATATATAATCGATTAGCTTTTTGGGATGTAAGAGGATTTTGATACAAAATAAATGTTATATTTAAATGCAAAAACGAATTCGAGTTCGAATTTCATTTAAAAATCGTGTTCAAAAGGATTTTTTCAATTTCGAAGGGCGGGCCATGTGTGGGAGTGGTAGAGGAATACAAATTGGTTTTTGAATATATCAAATCAGAGTATACAAATTATTCGCATAATTATCGTTATATATATAATATGTATGTAATGTAATGTATTTATATATAATGTATATATAATTGTATAATGTATGTATGTATGTATTATTTCTATAATGTGTGAGAGTTGTATGGATTAAGGCAAACTCGAGTAAACAAAATAAAAGAATTCATAGATCTAAAAATAAACGTGTATGTGTGTGTGTGTGTGTGAACAACATTACAACATAAACCCATTGCGTGTCAGTATGTGTGTATGTTAAGTTCATGTTACTGTTGCTCTTACTGCTGTTAATGTAACAACTGCTCTGCTATTTACTGTTATCTGTTATCTGTTGCATTTTTCTCCATCTCTTTCTCTCTCAATCTACGCTAATTTTTGCTATAATTTTTTTTTGTTGCTCTTGTTGTTGTTGCCTGTTACTATTAAGTATTAGTGTTCTTTTTTTTCCTCTTTTTTATCATATTTTTGTTTTTGTAATACAAAGAAAAACGGTTTTCTTTTGTGGATATCAGACGCCAGTCTCGGCGCGTTCTTTTTGTGGTTAACTAGTTGCTAATTTACATTTACCATTTTGTTTTTTGTGTTTGCGTTTGCTTTTTAAATTATTTTATTATAATTATTATTATTATTATTAACTTTCTGCTGCTTCTTTACGTTGTGTTTAATATAGTTAACAAAAAAAAAAAAAAAAAATACACGTTTTTAGCAGCCTTTTTAAACAACTATGTAGCTCTTCATCTCTCCTCATCTGTCCACCACTTCTTTCCACATCTCTTCTATGCTTATCTCCTATCTCATTCTGCTCCTACTTCTGTTCTTGTTTCAGCAATTCAGCGTTCGTCCTTAGCTTCGAACCAATTCTCGATGTTTTTGCTGTTTTGCGTTCTTTCTGCTGTTTTCTTTTTGTTGTTGTTGTTGTTTTTTTTTTCTTGCTTTACGCTTGTTTATCACATTTAATATATATGTATGCATGTACATATTTATATTTATATATGCATATATAGTTGTATTTAATTTAGTAATGTTTTTTTTTTTGTTTTTGTTTTTTTTTTTTTTAATAATTTTTTTTTATGCATTTGCGGCGCGCTTTGCTTCAGAGGCGTCAGTGGAAATTCTTCGGGTTGTTCTTGCTGGTTATTGTTGTTGTCTCTCTCTCTCTACATATCTATCGCTCTTGTTCTCTCTCTCTCTGCAAGTGCAACAACAGATGCAGCAAGTGAGCTCGTTAACTGTTGGCAGTGTTGCGCTTAACGTCCTTGGGCACAATCTACAGCAATTCCTGTTGCAGCAGCAACAATTGCTGTTGCTGCTGCAGTTGCGCCTGCTGTTGCAGCTGCTGCTGCTGCCAGCGCTTGTACATGCCCAGGTAGGTGCGTGTCGTTGTTGTTGTTGTGGTGCTGGTGTTGTTGCTGGTGCTGATGCTGGTACTGGTACTGGTGCTGGTGGTGCTGTTGCTGCCGATAGTTGTCGCTCCAGCTCCAGCTCCGGCTCCAGCTCCGGCTCCACCTCCAGGTACTGCTCCAGCTGCTCCAACACCTGTCACCAACGTGGGCATGGCTAATCCGGGCAGCTGCAGTTGATGTGAGTGCAATGTGGTTCCAGTTATTGTTGTTGTCGATGATGAAGCTGCTGCCGCTGCTGCTGCCACTGATTGCAGTTTGTAGTGCGTGGCATCCATCACAGTCTCATAGCAATAGGCGGCCGCATCCAGTAATGTGGTGGCATAGTAGCTGCTGCTGGTGTGCAGCCGCCGATTGCAATATGGGTTGTTCATGATGTTGTTGCTGCTGCTGCTATTGTTGCTGTAGTTGTTGTTGATGCGCTGCTGTTGCTGTTGATGTTGCTGCTGCTGTTGCTGTTGCTGCTGTTGTTGTTGTTGCTGTTGCTGTTGATGTTGCTGGTGGCTAGCAGCTGCTGCTGCGGCGGCGAATTATGAATTGGAATTGCGTTTAGTTGGCAGCTAGGACGAGCTGGACTGATTCATATTGCCAAACATGTGGGCTGAGAACGAGGTTTGCCCCGCCGAATTGGCCTGCGACGTGGACGACTGTTGTTGCTGTTGCTGCTGCTGTTGTTGCTGCTGCTGTTGCGCCTGCTGCTGATTCAGCGAGCCCCGACCGTGCTTCGGTATGGGCGGCTGTATATACTCGTGCCTGGCCAGTGCAAACACATCCATGCGATCCTCCTTGCGATAGGCCAAACAGCCCCGAATGAAACTCTGCGAACAGAAGCGAAAACCAAAAGTCAACATCTCGCATATAGAATATATATATATATGTGGATATATGTGGAAGGCTGCTAACCTTTGCCTCGTTGGACACTGTGGGCTTGTTGGAGAACTGCACTTCGGTGGCCTTCAGTATGGTATTCTCCTCGAGAATTGTGGCCTGCGATTGATTGTGGCCGAACGGCTTCTTTCCATATAAGCACTGATAGAATATCACGCCCACACTCCAAACGTCCACTTTCGATGAGATTTTCGGTGGATTCTTGCCAACCACAAAGCATTCCGGCGGCAGATACCTGAGAGATTGCGATACGGATTGTTAGTTATAGATGGAACAGATGATATCGATGATATGGGAATATATTTTATGTGGATTGTTGCTCATTTACCAATAGGTGCCCGCGCCCTGCGATGTCAGATCCATGCCATGATCCGGATTGTAGTTCTCGTCGTCCATCACCTTGGACAGACCGAAGTCGGTGATTTTGATCTCGCCACAGACATTGCCCTCGGTCAACAGAATGTTGCCCGGCTTCAGATCGTAATGGATGACAGGCGGTTTAATCTCATTTAGATACTTGAGTGCAGATACAACCTGAATATGCAATGATTATTATCATTATCATTATCATTATCATTTGAAATGTATTCATATATGATTCATTATGATTCGCCCACACTCACCTGCATTATGATCGAGCGCGCCTCACGCTCGGGTATAGTCTTATGCTGCTTCAGATAAAAGTCGAGATCGTGTCCATCACAATACTCCAGCACGGTGCAAAAGGAATTCGCATCGATCTCGAAGACATCATAGAGCTTCACCACGCGCGGATGATCCAGCGCCTTGTGTATGTTGTACTCCCGCAATGCGTGTCTAGATGGGATTTGGGGTAAGGGAAATGGGAATACGAATATATATATTTATAAAGTGTGCTCAACATATGCTCCAAATCCCACGCTCTTCGGTACTTGGCTCTTGGCTCTTGGACCTCTTCTACTAGCAAAAGCGTACTAATTGCCTACGAGAACTAGAAGACCAGAAGAGATTGTTTGAGTCTAAGTCAACTATGGAAAGTGCCCCACTCGAAAGCGTCCACAGATCCCCTGGAGAGATCAGGGATTACGAAATAGAAAGATGTTCGATAGCCTATTCGCTTGCCTTAGAGAGCTAACAGTGAAGTGTTACAGATAGATAGATTGAAGTTAATTGAAGAGACCTCAACCTGATCAGGATGCTATGAGTGCGTCCCTATAATTGCGTCCTATAGTTCCGTCGCTGCTGCCTCTACTCACTTGATATAATTAGCTTTCTTATCCTCCTTCCAATCCTTGTTTAATTGGTGCACCTTACATGCGACATAGCGTTGCTCCTTGAGGTCAAAGGCCTTGTGCACCTCGGAGAAGCCGCCCTTGCCCAACAGCATCAGCAGCAGATAGCGATCGTTCAGCACGGGATGATTGTTAAAGCGGGACTGCAAGACGTCGAATAAGTTGGATTAACACATGACCATTGAGAGAGAGACATATGTGCATGGATATGGACATAGTTCATACCTGATCTTCGTTGAGTATGCGCTTGAGCTCGCGTATGTGGAGATTGCGTTCGCGCTCGAGCTTCTCCATCTCCAGCTGCAGGTCGGCGTCCTCCTTCTTGAGGGCGTTCTGTCGCAGCTTGAGTATCTCGTCGTATTCGTAATACTCCTGCGCCGTGTACGCGCCCGACACCGGATCCGGCTTGAGGAACGTGCCCGAGTCGGAGCAGCTGCCGCTGTCGTTGCCGCCAATGCCGCCACCGCCGCCGCCGCCTCCTGCGCCAGTTCCGCTGCCAGCACCGCCGGCACCGCCGCCGCCACGATCCGATAACCGATCGCTGACGCCGCCGCCGCCGCCACCACCGCTGCCGACATTGCCGCCGGATCCGCCTGCACCGCCAGCTCCGCCAACGCCACCGCCAGCGCCGCCGCCTCCATTGTGGAGCAGTTGCGCCTGCTGCGCCTGCGTCGAATTGGAGCGGGAGAGACCACGGCCGCAGGAGACGACCACAACGGCGCCGCTGCCAGCGCCAACGCCGCCGGCGCCAGTCGTGTTGACGGCCGCGTTGCCGACAGCGATGCCGCTGTCCAGGCTGCCGGCGCCGGCGTTGCCGCCCAGCCGATCCGTCAGCTGGGAGGAGTCATTGGAGTTGGAGTTCTGCTGCTGTTGCTGCTGCTGGTGCTGGTGTTGGTGCTGGTGCTGATGCTGGTTGTTCTGCTGGTTGCTGTTGTTGTTGCGCTTGCGTCCAGACTCGGCCGGGCGCTTCTTCATCAGCTGCTTCTTCTGGCGATCGATCTCCTCGCGCTCGGCCGTTATCTCCTCCTGCCGCCGGCTGAGCTCCTGGAACGCATAGCCGTCCGTCCAGTTCTCCTGGAATGTGGCGCCGACGCGCTGCGTCACAAACTGACCCAATCGTAGGCGATTCTGCATGCACTTCTGGCGCGCCTCCTTCTTCTCGATGCTGCTCTTCTCCTTGAGCAGCTTCTTCACCACATCGATGCACTTGGCGATGTGCGACTTGTGCTGCTCGATCGACTTCTGGTGGCTCATGATCTGGCACTTCTGTTCGTCCGACAGCCGCGTCATCTCGTCCAGCTTCACCTTGCCCGACTCGTGCTCCGCCTCCCGCTCCTGCAGCTCCAGCTGCGACACCTCCGTCTGGGTGCTCTTCGTGTACGTCATGATGGCCGCTGGCATTGACAGCGGCATCGGTGGCGGTGGCGGTGGTAATCCGCCGACCACGCCCACATTGACACCAACGCCCACATTGAGCGTGCCCAGCGTGCTGAGCGTGCTCAGCTGCTGATGCGTGGGCACCACGGCCACACTGGCCGCCGATGTTGTGACGGGCAACTGTTGCTGCTGCTGCTGTTGTTGCTGTTGCTGCTGCTGCTGCTGCGCCGCCTGTGAGCCCACGCCTAGGCCCAGACCGGCGGCATTGAGTACGCCGTGCGCCACGCCCACATGCGACATGGGCACACCCATTTGCGTCTGCTGAGGAACCATTGCATTGGAAGTCTGTTGTTGTTGCTGCTGCTGCTGCTGCTGGCGCTGCTGCTGCTGCTGTTGCTGCTGCTGTTTGGCCGCTGCCGCCGCCGCCGAGCTAACGAAATGAAAGTCGGCGCCCGCCTGCTGCACCTGCTGCTGGCCGGGCTGGGACTGCGTCTGTGGACTAGTTGAATGATAGCCGTGTATGGAGTACGCGCTCGACGTCTGCACCTGGCTGTTCACCTGCTGCTGCTGCACCTGCTGCACTTGCTGCACCTGCTGCTGCTGCTGCGTGGCCGACGACGGCGATTTGCTGCCCGTGTGCGGCCGCAGACTCGAGTTGCCGCCGGACTGCTGCTGCTGCTTGTTGAAGTAATCGTTGATCTTCTTGTTGTCGCTTGCGCCCGGCAGCAGGAGGCGCGCGCTCTTGCCCCCAGCGCCCGCCCCGGAGCCACTAACACTACCCGATCCCCCGCCGCTGCCACCACCGCCGCTGGGCAGGGCGCAGCGATCGGCGCCCAGACTCAGCGCAAGGCTGCCGCCGCCCGCCTTCGACATGGCGCTGTCCCGGAATGCCAGCGACTTGCCCACCTTCAACCCGCTGACAATTCCGCCGCTGCTGCTGCCGCCTCCTCCGTTGCCCGTATCGTCCGCATTGTTGGGCATTTTGCGTTTCCGTTTGCGTTCTGCGGGCGTGCGCGGCTGCTTCCCGCTGGCATTGGTGGCGGGTCCTGGTCCTGGTCCGGGGCCAGGTCCGGGTCCGGGTCCACTGCCCGGCCCTGTGCTATTCAGTTGCTGCTGCTGCTGTTGTTGCTGCTGCTGCTGCTGCTGTTGCTGGACATTGAGCATGTCGAGCATGGAGGCGCCGTTGTTCGAGTGCAATCCGGGATTCAGCTGCTGCTGCTGCTGCTGGAGGCTGCCGAGTCCTAGCATATCGTTGACATCCTTTTCGCTGTGCGAGGAACCAGTGCTCATATTCGAGTCCGGATTGCTGCTGTGTCCGCCAGCAGCGCCGTGCGGCTGTTGTTGCTGCTGCTGCTGGTGCAGCGCTGCGTGTGGATGCTGTGGATGCAAATGTTGCAGCTGCTGTGGATGCTGTGGCGGCAGTGCACTGTGATGCAGCGACTGTTGCTGCTGCTGCTGCTGTTGTTGCTGTTGCTGTTGTGCTAACGCTGCCGCTGCTGCTGCCGCTGCGGCCGCCGCCGCTTGCTGTTGCTGCTGCTGCTGCTGTTGTGTGGTGAGCTGCTGCAGATGCAACGTGTGCGTCTGCAAGTGCTGCTGCTGCGTTAGCTGCTGTGGCAACAGTTGCTGTTGCTGTTGCGCCTGCGTACTGTGATGATTGGCAAAATGTTGCTGCTGTGGCTGCGGCTGCTGTTGCTGCTGTTGTTGCTGCTGTTGCTGTGCTGCTTGACTGCTCGGATGATGATGACTTAGGGTCGATGTGGTCTGTGGGGCCATCTGCAATTGAGCGCCGGCGGACATCTGCAAATTAAATATTAAACAAATATTAATTTAATTAGTTGCGTTAATCTTTTTTTTATTTCTATATTGTTTGTATATCAATTTATTTATGCTTTTTTAATTTATACATGAACTGGAGCAAATGATCGATTCGATTTCACGCTTATCGATATGCTGTGACTTTTGCAGCACTGAACCACTTTTTGTTTTGATTCGCTGGTTCGTCGGCGACAGCGCAGCGCAGCGCTGCCAGACATATGCCTATCAACTAAGTGGCAACGGCGAGGCTGAGCCGCAAATGGAAATAAGAAAAAAAAATGGCAGAATAGCGAAAAGAGCGAAAGAGAAACGTGCAAAATACATGGCAACAAAATGACGAGTACGTGTGTGTGTGTGTGAGTGAGTGAGACGTCATAGCAATCGCGAGCTACTCTGCTGAGCGCCGCTCCGCAAGACATGCGTATGAGTGAGCGCAATGCAGCAGCAGGGTTCGTATGTATTTGTGTGTGCGCTTCTGCATGTGTGAAATATTTTATCAAAAAGCAAAGACAATGAGAAAAAATCGACACAGAACAAAGTTGAAAATCGAATTACAAATTTTATGTCTACCCAACACACTTTTTTTTTTCGTTATTTACATATTTACTTTTTGCCAGCACTCTTTATTTCTTTCCCTACACAACACAATTTAATTATTATTTTTCTTTTAGTTATTTTTTTTTTTTTTGCAGTTGCTTTGTGGATGCCTGTGTTTGAGTGAGTGTGAACGTGTATTGTCTGTGGATATGTTTGATCATTTATATATAAATATATAGTATAATATATATTTATATATATACTTGTATATGTGTGAGTATGTATGTGTGTCTTATTTATGACAAAATGCCGTTCACCTTTTTTAAGCGCCGCATATTTTTCTGCACACACATACGCTTTGCTTCTGTGTGTGTATGTATGCGTGTGTATGACGTGTATGTGTGTGCGTGTATGTGTATGGATGAATTTTCACATTCTATTATAATTTATCACATTCATTGTTGTTGTGTATATCTATGCACTTTTACGAATTTTACATTACGCTTTAACGATTATAATCGACTATTTTGCACGCCGCGTACTTAGTTTATGGCTGGTTTTTGTATTTTTCTTTCAGTTCTTTCGGGGCAGGCAGCAAATTGTTATACGCGTATTTGTAATGGTGCGCGCGGCCCGTAACAAGCAAGAAAGAAGGTGAAAAAAGAAGAACAAGAGCAATAAAACGCGTACACAGACAACGGGCAACGGCAACGACAACGACGACAGCAGCAGCTACAGCGACAGCGACGAACGTCTCAAACTCGGCGCTTTTGCTATTTGCAGAGAGCACGAGCGCGAGAGCAAGGGTGAGAAAACACACAAAACCAAAAAAGAGAGCGAGAGAGTGAGAAAGAGCGCGCGTACAAGGAGCCGAGCCGGAGTCGAGAAAACAACACAACTGCACCACTACACTACACAGCACTACAAAATATTTGCAAAAACGAGGAAAGAAATGTACAATAAAAATTAATCCGATTGACAGGCAGCAACCGCTTCGCGTCGTCGTCGTCTGTCGTTCGTCGTTCTCTCGCTCGGCCTTCGTTGGCCTGTTGGGTTTCTGTTGCTTTTGATAAATTTCTGCGACTTCCGCGCGCGCCCATCCAAAAACAACACCGAAACTAAACTACAACAACTATTTGTAGTTGCTGCTGCTCTTGCTGCTGCGACGTCGGCTCTGCTGCGACGACGCTGCTGCGCGGCTGTGAGCGCTCTTCTTCTTTCCACACTTCCAACATCATTGCCCAGCAATCAGCGGCAGCAGCAGCAGCAGCAGAGCAGCCCAACCGGCGTCTTTGTTATTTCGCGATGAGCGCGTCGACGCTGGCAGCGACGCTGACGACGCCATTGCCCAAATTATGTTCGTATTTAACACACACATGCACATGCATGTACATTTACATATAGTGTACGTGTGACTGTGTGAATATAAGAGCAATTTAAATTATGATGCAAAAAATAAAAAATAACGACAAAACGTATGTCAATTTAAATTAAATAAAAAATATACAGTAATCCAAATCGAATTTATTATTATCTACAAATGTTCTAGGCATGAATACCAGAGTTCTTGTAATTCGGCTTAGCTACATTTAAGTAGCTCTTTTTCTCATCGAATAACAGTTTAATAATGTTCGTGCTGCAAACAGCTCTGCTAGAGCCGCAGTCACTTTTAGCACCAAATAGCGTTAAAAAGGAAGGAAGCTAACTTTGTGGTGTCGACGCGTAGCAGCGCTGTTTGCGGTTGCTGAACATGACAACAGCTGGACACTGGACGTCGCGACGTTGCTGCCCGCTGCACGTTTCCCGATGCCATGATGAGAGTGAGAGCGAAAGATGGAAGCGCGTTGGAAAAAGTGTTGCCAATCATGAGTAGAAAAAATGAGCAAATGCAATCGCAAATGCACACACACAAGAATGTTGTAACGGGCCAAATTGGCAACACCAACAACGGGCCAAGAGCTATGAAGAAAACAAATGATAACAAACTTTGTGAGCTGAGCCCAAAATGCAAACGAAATGGGCGACGACGACGACGAAGACTTAATTTTTCGGCTTGCTCCACTCACGTGCGCGCGAATGAGATAAATCTATGATGATGTTGATGTTGTTGATGGGAGCTACAAAAGCAAAAGCGTGCGAAAAGGCCCGCGAGACGCAGATGTAGACGTAGCGAGAACGAGCCGAGACAAAACCAAATTCGAGCGTGAGCAACGTCCCTCTCTCTTCAATAAATACTTGTATTCGTGTGCGTGTGTATGTGTGTTTATGTGATGGTACGGGGTAGTGTGCGAGGGTGTGGCAGTGACAAGCATAACGTATGTATGCACTTCTTATTGGCACCATCTGTGCATGTGGGTACTTGTGTGTATGTGTGTGACGACAGCAACTGCTGGTGCTGCAGCTGCAGCTGCGACTGCGACTGCACAAATGTACACACATACATATGTATGTATATATGTACATAAATACGTTTGCGCGAGCGAGTGAAAGAGTACTATTACGATTTCGAGTGCATTCCAATGCAGCTCAAAAGCCGTTGCATATTTGGTGATTTTTCAAATGCAATCGGGTAGCAGTTTTTTTTTTTTTTTTTGCTAAGTTCGTTTCAGCAACGCAGCACAACTCCCAAGCTTCGGAGCATGCAATGAACAAGTTTTTTTTCACAAAGTGTGATAACGCTTATTGCAAATACAAAATGCACACATATATACATACTATATAATATATATGTACATATGTATATACATCTGTGCATTTGTATGTGTTTAAAAACTGGTTGTCGCCATCGACGCGGCAAGACGTTGACATTAGGGCTGCCATCCAACACACAACAGCCATAACAATCGCAGCCGTCTGGCAACGCCGTCGCGCAACACCAGGCAACAACAGTCGCCGTCGTAGCCGCAGTTTAACAGTTCACATCGATGAGTCAAGGTCGAGAGACGTCACGCAAATTTTCGTTTTCATTGCTTACCCACAACACAGAAAGAAAAAAAACTATGTCCGTTTATTTTTAGCGTGCGATTCCGACGTCGTGTTGAACGACGGCGAGCCGAACAGACACGAGTCGTTGCGACGAATGAATGGGAAGCGGCAACGAACGTTTGAAAACACGCATGGCAAAGGCCGAGCAGAGGCACCATCGAATAATTAATTTATGTATTTTTTTTATTTCGCATTTTATTTAGTTGGCTTTTTTCGTTGTTGTCGTTGTCATTGTCATTGATTTAATATGCTACGCGCTTTGAAAAATTTATGATGGAAACATTATAGCCTAACGTCAGCATTATTATGATATTGAAGACCTACATAAATTATTTGTAAACATTCTATAATTTTTATTATTTACTTATTCTCGTCATTAACCCAATTAGATTGGTTTGTTTACTTCATTATTTCTATTTACATTTTGAAAATGAGAGAAATATTCAAGCTGTAAACAAACGTAAAATAGAAATAAAAATAAAGTTGTTTGTGTGTTAATTTCTCTTTAAAATATGTAAATTCTCTGTTAATTTCCTTACAGGGCAATCAATGGGTTAACATTGATTGTGTCCCCAATTGCTTAACAGACCCCTGTTAAGAAAATGTATACTGGGAGCACAGCAGCAGAAAGCATCAGCACGTGCACGAAGCGCCGCTAATGTAAACAAAGAGAAATACACACACAAAACGAAAAAGAAAAAAAAAAATAACAACACTCACGCTCTTGGTTAACTTGCGACCAGCGGCGCCGCTGCCGGCGCTTCTCTTGCTGCCGTTGTTGTTGCTGGTGCTGCGGCTGCGTTTGCGTGCGGCGTTACTCGCAGATGCTGCTGCTGCTGTTGTCGTTGTTGCTGCCGTGGCTAACATGGCAACGTAACAGTGAGAAAACGTCGCTGCTGCTGCTGTTGCTGCTGCCGCTGACGTTGACGCTGACGCCGATGTCGCAGTCGCCGTCGTTAAACAGCTGACACGCTTACCGGCAAAATTTTAAAAATCAGCTGCCATAGCAGCAGCGTTGCTAGAACTCTCTCGCGCTCTCCCGCTATGAGAGTGTATGTACAAGTGTGAGCGCTCGACCGGCGTTCTCTCGTTTTATTTGCACTCTCTCTCTCTCTCTCTCTGGCGTATTTTCTCGCTGTTTGCCGACACACGACTGTTTTGTGTTTTGTATTTATGTTTTCCTTCTCTCTCTCTTTTTTTTCCTTTGGCTTGCTTATTTTGCACACTTTGCTTGATTTGCACGTTTTGCATTTATGTTACACACACGCTTTGCTTCGGCATTCGTATCGTTTGGTTTGCCTTTTGCTTGTTTTATTTCTTGTTGTTGTTGGCTTTGCCTGATGTGTTTGTATATAGTAGGAAGTTGGCAAAAATAATAAAAAAAATTCAGGCGCGTTCGTCGCCGACAACGACACGTCACGTTAGTCGCTCTTTAAGTTCGACACTGTTTCGCTAGAGAGAAGCGGCAAGGTAAAATTGGCAAGTCTACAACAAAAACGAAAATGAGCTGGCTGGCTGGCAGCCGCGACTGCGACGCTGACTGAGCATTTGTACGTCTGTCTGTCTGTTAACCGAGTGAACTTAAGTTGTGTAGTTCATTCTGTATGCTGCTGCTGCTGTTGTTATTGTTGCTGCTGCCGTTGACGTTGCCGCTGCTGCTGGCGCTGCCGCAGTTTCTCAGCATTTCTCGTTTGTTCTTGTATAGTGTGAATCGCAAGGCCGCTAACCGTTGCTATTGCCGTTGTCGTTGCGTGTGCATTAGAAAGCTCTTTGCCGTTGCAGTAACTAACGCTGATGCTAGAATGCTGCGGCGAGTTTTTCGATTTGCCGTTAGCAGCGAAATGCAGCGCAACCATGAACCAAAGGCGATTTTAATTTTCACTGTTAGCAGGCGCACAGTGCAACATAGCGCAGCGCACTAACATCGGCGACCACAATGTGCATACATACATACATACATAGTTAGGCTATTGTTGTTGTTGGTGAAAGCATTTTAATAGAACACTGCCGTTAACAGTAGCTGAGAGAGCGATGTTGCGCTATTAAATGGCGTTTGGGTTTGGTCTCCTAGCGACTTTGTATTCAATTTTCGTGTGGCTGCTTACACACTCGCGTACACATAACTATGTATACTAATAATATACATGCATACATACATATTCATATGTATGTATATACATACGAATGTGTTATAGTATGTGCCCGTAATGGGCATTAATATTATCCGATAATGGTTCGAGGATGTGTTTGTGTCTGTGCTGACGCACCTGGCCTTTGTGTGTATCTACATACATACATACATATATACATATACATGTATGCATGTATGTATAAAAATGTTTGTTGAAACAGAGCAAAGACAAAGCAGAGGGAATGGGTAATAAATGCTCCGTTATATTTGTGTAGCCGTTCTCTTTAGATTAGTGCGGCTAAATACACTACACAACACATGCACTCATACACAGACACAAACACATACATACATATGTTTACATACACATACACACGCATATATATGGCACATTGATTAATATTGACGGCATAAAACGTAAGGCGATACATGTGTATGTATGTATGTATGTGTGTATATTTGTATTAATAAGTGTCTGTTCACATGTGCATAAACAAAGCAAAAAGAAAATTCCGAATAAACTTAATTTGACATATGCAAATAAATCAAATTAATTCTAAAAAATTAAATAACATTTATGACGACCAAATTACGATTACGATCTCAAAATATGTATGTATGTGTGTTTGTACCGTAAATATAAATGAACATGTACATAAATACAATGCATTTTTATAAAAAATATATTCATAGCTGTTCATGGAAATAGTAGAGCTGGACTGCCAGAAAAAAACTTAAGCCAAATATATGTATGTATGTGTGTATGTATGTATATATATGTGATATGTGATATCCCAGATACCCTAACTACGAGTTTATTGATTACAATCGATTACTTGACTATGAAATTTATTTAATTTTCATTTCAGCATGAAAATAAAACTATATTAATATGTTTTAGTTTAACTATGTATATATAGTTATAATTATACAAAAATAATTAACAACATGTATTTAAAAAATTCTTTAACCATCTTCAATGCAGCCCAAATATCTGCCCAGCACTCAAAATATCTCTTGACTGTATGTTTTACCAATTTCTATTCAAATTTTTGTTGCACAGGGCAATAAATTGCAATTAGTTATTATTTTCACTCGTCTGGCAACGCCGCCAACGCGCAGCATTCAAGTTTTGAACTTCGCTCTCTCCCTCTACCTCTTCTTCTACCTATGCCACTGCCTCTAGCTGTCCCTGTCTCCCGCTCTCACTCGACCGACCGATCGACCGACCGCCCGCCCGCTCTAATTGCTTGTTTTATGCATTATTTTTGTATTTTTTTTTCCTTTCTGCTTTTTATGGATGAGTTGATTTCGTGCTGCACTTCTTGCCAATTTGTTTTGTATGTATGCTGCACAAACACACACACACACACATACACATGCAAGCATGTAACTGTGTATGTTAATATGTATTCCATTTCATTATATTTGCTTCCCCTCATTTGATTTCAAACTGCGCAACTTTCACCCAAACAAATTTACAGCAAAAACAAAAAAAGCTGCTGCAAAATATTTAACTACAAATTATGTACACACAGATACAGATGTCTGTATGTCAATATGCGTATGTATTTTTTTTTGACTGCAAACGTACATACATATATATATATATAATTTAATTTATTTATACTTTGTATTTTTCTTAGCATTGACATTCGTCCCAATGACTGTCAGCTGACGTAATCGCAGCATAAAAAAAAACAATCAAAACAAAAAAAACTACAAAATTCAAAAATACAAAATTTAAAAACAACTGCAAATGTTTAAGAGTAAATGGAATAAAAGAACAATACAAAATTAAACAGTTTTTCTGCAATCGCGGATAAATACATGTGCATCAAGTGCATTGTTGGCCAATGATACTTGTGATAGAGCACAAGATACCCTAGAATGGAATATCTGTTAATTTTGTCAAACACTTTTATGTTTTCCTAAAAAATAAATCATCATAATCGAAATGATTAAGCAAAAGTGATTATCAGTTCGTAGTTGTATGTATGCACATATGTCAAAATACCAAAGCAAATACATATAGGGTAAGATGTATGCAGTTCATTCTCAATGAATCATATGAATTCTTAGATAAAATGCCCACTCCTATTACCTACATACATACATACATATGTATGTACATACATCTATGCATATATATTTAGATAGAGTATGTTAAATAGAATGGTATCTCGCACACACACACACACACTCTCTCAACAATATAAACATGCACATTCATCTCAATCCCATCAGTCTGGCAACTCCAACTGCGAAATCGCAAATTCAATTGAATTTGTGTTTTGAATGGAGCCTCTTGGGTGCTAATCGTATGACATTAAAAACAAAAAGAAAGGGAAGCCAAACAGCACCAATACTAATTTATATAGACATACAAACATACATGTATATATTTTTATATATACATGTGTACATATATCACTTATATACACAAATTGTAACATTCGAAAAAATGTTATCAAAATTATAAATTTCATGCATTTGATTCAAGTCACGTACACGCATACATACATACATATGTGTACTCACATATACAAATGTATACATTTATATACATATGCCTATATGTATCTGACATTTTGTTTAAAAACAATTGTTTAACCTAAGTAAACTAATTAAATTGGAAAATTATGTATACAATGCATATACAAATACATATGTATGTATGTATGTGACTCTCGTTGGCTGCCCACAAAATGCTTGAAGAATATAAAATTTACATACAGATATGTATATACATAAATATGTGTGCAATCTCTGTACACGCGTAGCAAAACATTGCCAAAAAAATAAAAGAGAAAAAAAAAAAAAAAAAAAAAAAAAAAAAACAAAAAAAAAAAAGCGAACATCGGGCACACAACAACTGCAATGCGCCGCGTTACGCATACGCAAATTGGGAGCCAGCAGCAGCAGCAGCAGCAGCGAGAGGTGGCTAACGATGCCGTCGACGTCGCGACGTCTAATTATGCTGCTACTGCAACAAAAACAAAATCGACGACGAGAGCACACGACCCACTCACCGAGGCGACCGAGCGACGAACGCTGCGACGACAACGACGGCGACGGCGGCGACCCACGACAACACACAAAATGTAAGCGCAGCGAGTGGAAACGAACGAGTTGCGGTGGCGCAGGCGGTGGCGGAGGCAGCTGTGGCGATGCTTGCCTGCCGGTCTGCCTTCGCTCACTCTCTCATTCTCGAAAGCTCTCGCCCACTGCACTAGCAAAGGCAGCGACAGCGGCAGAGCTGGCAGCAGCGTTAGAGGCAGCGATGAATTGCTGGGTTTAAAAACAGTTTACTATTGAGCAGGCAAACACACACAAACATGCAAAAGCAAAAGCAAAAGCAAAGGCAATAATAATAAAACACACAACAGAGTGAAAAATAGCAAATCAAAAGTGTATAGTAAAGTAAGGTAAAGTAAACTGACGTTGACGGATTCGTCGCTTTAGCCGCGTGAGTTTTACGTTTCAGTTATTATTGAAGCACAAACAAATTGAGACTAAAAATGCGGCGTGAGATTTGATTGTGAGTAAGCGCAAGCGACGCGTTTGTGCCGTTGACGCCAGCAGCGACGTCAGCGTCTCAGTCACATTTAAAATAAAGGCAAACAAATATACAAAAGTAAAAGCCAAAGAACGCAAGGGGAATGAAATTAAATGTATGTATGTATGCATGTATGTATGTATGTATGTGCCATGTGTATTTACTTGTACATGTGTATGTACGTGCATGTGTGCGTGTGCTTGAGTATGGTGGGAAATGAAAAAAAAGCGCAGAATGGAAAAAAGTAACGCAAAAAAAAGTTAAAGCTTAGCGACTGGCCAGCGACGATGTCGCGACGCTGGCGCCGCCGTCGTCAAGTGCAAAGTGTATAGGGCGTGGCCGCTGTGGGCGGTTGGATTGTAGGGTATGGGTGCATGTTCATGTATAGATGTACATGTGTATGTAGATGTGTATATATACATACATACAAACAAGTGTGTATCTATGTGCGAATGGATGTATGTATGTATGTGTGTGTCTGTATGTATGCGTGTTTATATGTACGTGTGTATTTACATTAGCTGTTCTAGTTGTTGCGCTGTCAACAATTCAAGCATAAAGCAAGAACAGGCAACGACTCAACAACAACAATAATATACATACATACATACATACATACATATGAGGTAATCGTGGGCTGTGCGCTGTTTATCAAAACAATAACAACAACAAAAATCAGAAGATATATTTTTATAATTTTCAGCGAAAATCAAAAATTGCCAAAAGACAGAAAAGTCAGAAACAAAAGACAACATCAACCAGCAACAACAACAACAACAACAGTAAACATTACCGCATCTGGCATACATACAAATATACCAACAATTCACTTTATACTACACACATACTAGCATACATACATACATATATTTATGTGTGTATGTGTGTGCATGTATGTTGTATGTTTTTGTTCGAGAATTTCTGCCTTCGGATGTATAAAGCAAATGGAATTTTTATTAACAGTCACAAAAACAGCAGCGCAAAATGCAGCCAACATTTTATTTATAGATTGCAAGACAAGGATAGCCGCATTTCAGGCAGTTAGAAGGAGAAAGCATTAGCGCAAGTCTGGCTAGCGCAGTGTGCAGGAGGGCAGGAGAAGAGTGTAAAGCGGGGGAGACGAGAGCTTGCGGTCGATGTTGAGGTTGAGGTTGAGGTTGAGGGCGGGGGGTAGACAATAAGTAACGGATCACTGTGCCACCGCCGCTGCCAATGAATTTTATGAACTAGAGACTAGACAAACCCCAAAAGGCAACGGCTTTTGGGCAGAGCGAGAGCGAGAGAGAGAGGAGCGGGAGCGTGAGTGAAAGAGGGGCACGGGCAGGGGCTGGCGAAGTAGAAGTTGAAGTGGAGCGAGCGCAATTGAGAGTTTGTGCACAATTTTATAAAGGAACAGAGCAAAGTGATATGAAGTGTGCACACACACACACTTACATATGTATGTATGTATGTATGCATGTATGTACTTTGTATAAAGTAGAAAAATATGTAATACATGCACACTTGCATACTTACATACTATATACTTATAAATACATACATACATACATACATATGTATGTATGTGCATGTGACGATAAGAACCAAATACATTCAAAGTTCGGTTTTAGTCCATGGGTTTTTTTGCGGCTTTGCTTTCAATTTTGCTTTTCCAGGAATTTACGAATATATACAGTATATGCATATATATGTATATCTGTATATACATATATATATCTACAAATGTATATATGTGTGTATATACGTACCTATACATATATACAATCGAGTCAGATATACCGATTTATATATGGAGCTATGCACATGTGTATGTATGTATGTATATAAAGTAAAGCTTGAGTACTTAAATTTGCTGGATTCACATTCCAGTTATATGTACATATGTAAGTATATGATAAAATAGAAAATTTATCTGAGAAGTACACTTTCTAATGAACGTATACATGTACACATACATAAGTTCTACTATTCTAATGAACACAGTTGTATTTTATAGTACTCTATACACATACACATACATACATACTATGTAATTAGATCTTGTTTTGAACATTTCGTATAGCTAGAAAAACATTTGAGCTCTGACTGATTCATTCCTTGCATTATCAATTGAATTTCACAATCCTGAGATTTCACAATTTATATTATGGAGATTTAGGAACGGATTATAATACTAAATTCGAGTCAGCAAATGGAATTTCATGAAATAAACCTCAATCTGACTTGGGCATGATTAAAAACTCTCTTTATACTAATATTTATTTGATTGTGAATGATTTCATCAGCATTGTTCACTCTCGCCTAGTGAGTGTGACCTTTAGATTATATCGCCACACTGAGCGTTCGTTCAATTACTATTAGTTATACAAAATAGTGTGTGCAAATGGAATTATATATGTGCATATGTATGTATGTAGATCTATATGCATGTACATATGTATATCTATATATTTGTACATATTTCAGAGAGCTACGACGGTATATATACATATGTGTATATATATGTAAGTATGTATTTATATTTAGCATTGGGGCAAAGCCCATTTGTAGTATTGATTTTGCTATTCAAATTTCGTTCTCTAATTGTAAATATATAAAGGAAAATAAGTGTGTATATATATGTATATATCAATGTATGTATATATATAATATTATAAACTTGAAAACCAGGGACCTATTGGAAATTCTCAAAGAAATACTCAAATGAAATCATCAAGATGTGGAAAAAATTTCTAAATAATCTAGCAAATTATTCTAGTTATTGTAAAACCTCAAAGATGATAAATGATTTATGGGAATTTGTTTATAAAATTAATTTTGGACAGCAAAATTTTGCTTATTTATTTAATTTTATTATATTATATTGTATTATATTACATTATATTGTATTATATTACATTATATTGTATAATATTACATTATATTATATTATACATGTATATATATTTTTTATTATTATTTGGAAATTATTTTGTATTTATTTATATATTTTTGATGTATTTTAAACATGCATTTTTTTTTTTTTAAATAAAAAAATGTACTTATTATTTTTTTTTTACTGACCAATATTTATCTTTATGTGATCCTGTTTATATTTTAAAACTGAAGCCATAAGAAAACCTCGAGCTTGAGCATACACCTTCAAATATATGTACATATATTGTATGGATATTCCTTCTATATTTCCAACTATATTATTTAATCACATAAATTATTTAATAGAACTAATTCAGAGAATTTAGCGTCTCATGCGAGATGAAACTCAATTGACACAGAAAATAAATCATGTAGAGCTGCTGCAGTCGAGTGCCATCGACTGCATGATACTTGTTCAGGATGTTAAAAATCAAGAAATCATTTCTGATAGCTCTCAGAGTGAAGCTGCAGTAATTTAACTGTACAACTTTGGAGCTCACGCGTATATGGAGTATATAAAATCGATAGTTCAAATCTTAAGCGTTTCTGATAAATTAAATTCCCATTTTTGTCACGCCCCTTGTAGGCGCATTGGGCTACGACAAGGTAAGCCTATGATTTTAGATGCCGAATTAAAAGTCAATTACGATTCAATAGAGTTGGATATTATACAGAATCAATACTCTCTCTCTCTCTCTCTCTTTCTTTCTCTCTCTCTCTTTTTAAACTAGAGCTTCAGTCGATAACGCCCGATGATTGCAGCGTTCTTTCTTGTTTTTCATATTTTGCTTCAATTAATAAATTTGTTCTCTATATAGATTTCGGACTTGAGCTGATTCGCATTATTCACGCCTCTCCCAGCCGGAAATACGAAATGCCAAGCAAAGAGAAAACAATTAATAAAATGAAATAAGATGGCAAAAAAAAAAAAAATATATATATATATATATATACATGTATGAAATATAAAATAAAAATACACACACACACGCACATGAGCGAAATAAACCAAAACAAAACAAAGACAAATGACTTTGTATTTGTTTAGGCAATTAACAAACCATTTTTATGCTCAATAAATTAATAAACTGTTAAAAAAAAAACAAGAAACGGATTTTCAAGTTTTGCACGAAAAGAAAACCGAAAACAAAGGCAAAGACAAACAACAAAAACAACAACAACAAAAAGTCGCCACGCGCGGGCTTTAAACTGAGTTTGTATGTGTGTTTGTGTGTGTAAAAAATTAGAATTAAATATTTATATTAAAAGCAAAAATTGAGTTTTTTTTTTTTATATATTTTTATATATTTTTATATATCATACAAATATATATATATGCATACATATATTATATATTCAATTTTAATTGATTCAATTTTAATGTTGTTGAAAATTGAAAAATCGTATTGGAATATAATCATCCCATCCAATACTTTGGCAAATAGCCGAGTCAAGCAGTCATAGAATATAGATTGAATGAGTCACTATATATATTCATACGTATGTATATAATTTACCTATTGCCTTCCCCCCTCTTTCCGCCAAAGAAAATTGTCGCCCAAATCGTAAATATTTATCAGCCTCGCGATTCAGAGGGTGCTATATAGACATATATAATATGTACCTAATATACATATCAATATATACATACATACATATTTAGCGCACAGTGTGTGAGCAAGCGAGCGGGAGAGAGAGAAAGAGAGAGAGCGAGAGAGAGATAGCAGAACAAAAGCATTGCGCACTTTAATAAAAAAATCACTCATACGTAATTTCAATGGAATTTTTTTTTTTTTCGTCGCATCTGCGCCTGCTTGTCCTCTTTTTCAGTGTTTGTCTGCCTCTTCAGCCTCTGCTTTTGCTTCTGTTTCTGTTTCTGTTTTCAGTTTCTGCCTCTTCTTGTTGTTAATCATCAACGCTTTGATTTTGTTTTGTATCTTTCCCTGTGCCTTGTCTACTGCTTCGCAATTGGATTTCGTTTTGCTCTGTTCGTTGTTGTTGTTGTTGTTGTTGTTCTCTTTTCGCTTTGCTTTGCTTTGCGTTTCGTTCTCTACTGCTTTGTGACTCTGTTTCGTGTTGTTGTAGTCTGTTGAGCAAGGGCACACTTAAAGCAATCCAAAATCAACAATCGTCAATTTGATTTGACACCAGTC